CCGTCCTGATCTCGATAAGTTGAAGCTGCGCCATCTTCATCGGATGAATTTGTAGAAGTCATGATACGTTGTTGAAGTTGTTGTCTTTTATGGTACGATTTAAGAATTCTTTTGTGAAAGACATCTCTTGGCTTATTATTTCCTGGATCTGATACCATTATAATTCTACACTTAATAACAATAATAACACTATATGTTATAATATTATTGGTAGTATATTTTTTGGTACTTGATGTGTGTATATAATGTAGTAGGAAGTAGTAACCTTGAACTAGACAAATGATAGAATTTTAATACAAAGTTTGCATTATGGTTGCGTAGGGTGGTGGGAGTGAGGGGTGGGGTGGAAGAAGCAGGAGCTAAAAAAATAATCAAGTGGCTTAAGGGCTGTTTGGTTAATGGCAAGTTATACATGATAAATAATGCATGAATTATTTTTAAAAATAAAAATTACACGTTTTGTTTGTTTTTTAAAGAAAAAACTGCTTAGCATAATTTGCCATTTTAATTCTTTGAATCTTTGCATGAAATAGTATGCAAATTCCTATAATTATATGTGACAACAAAAATGCCAACCAAACCATACATATAACAATTAGACATCTATGATGTAGCAGAAATTTTCTATAACAACATTTTATATTAACATGATTATATTATATATAATTGATTTTTATGTTATATTATATTAGATGTTCTCTTTAATTGTAAATTAGTAAAAAAAAAATGGGAAAATGATCTAAAAAATACATTAACTTTGGCCGAAATTGTTGTTACGATACCAAACTTTATGGAAGACCTTTTACCCCCTACACTATTTAATAGTGTATTTTAAAGGCATATATGTGCCCACATGGACACATTACTATTTAAAATGATGCAATATTTATGATGTCCACGTAGGCACATATATCCTTTCCAAAGTTTGGTATCGTAATAGCAATTTCGATCAAAATTGAAGTATTTTTCAGACCCTTTTCCCTAAAAAAGATACAATTAAGATGGTAGGGATAGGAGCGGATCCAGAGTATTAGCTACGAGCTCGGTAATTTTTGTTTGAGATTCTGAATTTATAGTAAGAAATTCTTTATATATATTGAATTATTAATTTAAAATCTAAAAATTTAAAAAGATTAGAATTTTATACTCATAAATTTTAAATTTTAAATTTTAATTTTGTCTTTAATTTTTTAAAATAAATATCTATTTTTGCAACCAAACGATGCCTTTTAGGGGAATATGTCATTGGTGACAAAGAGGGAAAGGTGGCAAGGTGAGATGACACGTATATGCACTATTTGCCTCTCATATTTACACGTAGCAATTACAAATTGCGGGTGTTCGACGTTCGGCTGAATATATTATTTTCGTATTTTCTCTATTCACTTTTACTCGTCATATTAGCGTTCGACTAAATATATTATTTCCGTGTTTCATCTGTTAACTTTTCAGATAAGAAACTCGTACACTTAATTAACAGCTCAATTTTAAAACTAAGAAAATTAGAATATTTTGTTGTGTATTTTTATCCTTCACAGACACAATAATAATATATTCATTATAATTTCATACATAAATGAAGTTTGAAAATTTTAATACTAGCCTTATCTCCAACCTTATAAAGGTAAAGATCGAGTGTGTTTTCGATAGACTCTAGCTTTGAATAAGTTTATCAAAAATCAAATACATGTATGTAACATAAATACAATATCAAAAAAGTTTTATTGAAAATAACTAAGAAAAAAATATATATAGTAATAAAAAATAATACGATAATCGAAGTAAATGAAATACCGCTATATATTTTCTGATTTTTAACTAAACAATGTTTTCAAATTTTTCTTTTTTTTTTCTAGCAAACTATATTTATATTTTTCTAGTGCAATATGGACCTGAAGTTCAATATCCAATAAAATGTAGATCAATATGCTGATAATGGATGATTTATGAGTTTTTGAAGAAAAAAAAAGTTTGATATAAAAAAGAGACAACTACGTACTAAAGTTATAATTCTTGCAAGAATTTCTCAAATCGTTAGATAATATATTTAATATTAATCATCATTTTTAGGAGTTTACTAAATTTTAAATGAATAAATAAAAATAAACGAAGAAATAAAATGTTATTTTTATTTTTGGGAAGGTTCAATTTATTATTATTATATGACAGACAAGTGTGAATTTTGATGAAGAAAATTCAGCAAACTTATATGAAAATTGGTGCACCTAATTTCGTGTCACTCTACCTTAAATCCTGTGGACTATACAAGCCACTTGCTTATACTAAATTTTTCTAAATTTAGTTTGATGTTCAAAAAAACAAATTTGCTATTGTCATTCCCAAACTCAAATTGACCACTTGTTCATATTTTATCTTATGTCCCACCTTATGCAAAATAAAATTGAGTGAATAGTTGCGAGTTTTATAATAGCTATTAGTATTATTTTTGCGAGTTTTATATTTAAACTATCTCACTTTAGAAAAGATGAGGCCATGAACTACCATGAATTCGTTGTGCTATGTAAGTTCATTTTTATGAGTTTTTTTTTATTTTTCACGCACCTCTCAGTATATCGTATATTCGATCAAGGTCTTTTTAATTTAAATGAAGTTATAGTAGGAGAGATGGAATATCGGGGGAGAGGTAACAAGAACACATAATAGTTTAGGTATAAAATTTACAAAATAATAATTATTTAGTTATTTAACAATTCTTTTTTTAAAAAAATGATTATTAATTAGTATTACTTTAAATCATTGTCTTTTCTAAATCTTTTATCTATATAGACGGTTTATAAGTGAACTAATGAATCAATGGGGTTGCATTTGTTATCTTTATTGAGTAATTAAGAAATAAAATAAATACAAATAAAATGTGAAATAGTTCAAGACGAAATAGATAAAATCAAAATTTATATCTATTTTCAAATCAACTTCAAGAGTATTTAGAATCCAATATAAGTAGTACTAAAATAAAAAGATTAAGCATGCCAATTGCCATGAAAGGATTAATACGACTAAAGATTCTTGGATTTTCAACAAGAAATAACTTTTTAGAAATATATTTGAAAATTTTTTTTTGTTCGAAATTCACATTTTTTTTAATGATCATCATGCTAGATATGTCATGGCACAAGTGGATTTTGTATGGGCAAGGATGTTATTGTTTCCCTTTAAAGATGTAATTTTACGTGTCTTAGAACTGATTTTATTGATATCAGAATAATATATTTTTATTCACTTTAAAATAAAAATAAAAATAAATATTCAAATCACCTGTTAGATTAAAAAAAAATCTGAACAAACATAAACAAAAGAAGAAACAACTACTCCAATGAAGAAATGAAAGTGTTGTTATTCACAATGAAATTATAATTAATGATAAATATTAAGGACTAAAACTAAAGTATGTTTGATATTTAAGGAATTAAAAGAGGCAATTTTTCCTTTTTTATATAAATAATATTTGATTCGATATGAAGTTCGATTTTACGTTAATTTAATTGAAAAATATTGCATCAAAATCTAAGATTTGAGTAGGTTAATATGTCTAAATTGTTGAAAATTTTGGAAGTTGTAGAAAAATATACAATGGAGTCAAATAAAAGAAATATATAGATGTAATTTTCCATTTATTTACTTAAAATAATTTGTCTTTATTTTATGCCCATCACAAATTTTTGAATTCCAAAATAGTCTTCTAAAAAAGAGATGAATAAGTTGGAGACTACTTTTTTAAATACGACGTAATACATTCGTATATATATTATAGAAATAAAATAATTTGTGCCCTCTTTGTTTTACTAAATTTGATTTTTGGGTGGGGTATCATCATAATAACTAGTACTAATATAATAACTATGCATGGATTCGTCCACATCCTTACTGGAAGTTTTGGGTTCAAATTTTTGAATATAAAAAAGAAATTAGTATTGATTCAATTTATATGAACTTAGTAATTTTCATACAAAACTTAAAAAGTATATCAAAGAAAAATTTTTAATTTTTTTTTAGTAAATAATAGATTATGAACTCACGACTATCCATCCTTGACTAATGACTACACATTATCTTAACTAGTAAGAGATTTTAGAATTGTTGGTATAATTATTTGTTTTTATTCCACTCTCAGCTAAAATTATAATATTTTTAAAAGTTATATATTATATATTTCTTAGGATAACTTTTAATTCATTAGAAAGGAAAATTTATGAGACATTAGATTAGAGTGAAAGGAACTTGGATGATTTGGTGCCTTGTTTTTGTGTTTTTTTTTTTTTTCAAGATTTAGTGGATTACTTTTATATTCCTTAGGACTTTTATTTAGATGATTTGAGATACTTTAATTCAATACATAATTAACAATATAAAAATTTTCTCTTTTAATATTATAGTCTGTTAAATAAAACGATTTACATAATTTACTATAGTAAAACATGTAAAAATTCAAAATTTGTGTCTTGCCATCATTTATTAACAACAAAGTTAACAAAAATCTAGGCAAATGACAATTTCCTTTTAGCACATTAAAGAAAAATATTTCACTACTCCTAATAACTAAACCCTTTGACATTTAAGTTCTCAAAGTAGAATTGCTTGGTGCAAATTTAATTAGCTCAACTTGATAAATAAATATATCATACACGATATAGAGTGTTTAACTTCAATATAAGAATTTTTAATACGAGTTGAAACTTAATCGAGCCTCAATAAGAATACGAAATACTTGACGAGATTTATTTTTGAAAAGAAACTTCTAAAAGTATTCAGCGTGAATTTAATTAGTCAAGCTTGATAAATAAATGTATTAGATACGACGAATGTGTTTTAATTACAATATGAGATTTTTTAATGTGAACTTAAATTTAGTCGACCTCAATAAGAATATGAAACACTTGACGGGATTTTTTAAAATAGAACTCAATTGAATTAAAAAAAAAAAAAAGTCTTGCTGGACAAGTACTTTTGGTTTTTGTTAAGACTTACCAGTTTTCTTGGAAACTCCGATCAATTTCCGATCTGAAAAAATGGATAGCCAACTGGTTGAGATGTGCATGAAATCGGCGACGGAGAGCCTTGACGCCGTCGAAGCGTGGCGGAGACAGCGGCGGACACTGGAAATGATGCCTTCTCACCTCGCCGAAGCTCTTCTTCACCGTCTTCTTCGCCGTCGTCTCCTCTTCCCGTCTTTACTCGAGTATTATATCCTAATTACGACTTAAATCTTTTTTTTTTCTTTCTGTATGCTTAATTAAATTTTGCACTGTCCTGTAATTAGCATCATTTGATTTTTCAGTATACTTAATTACTCTAATTTGCCACTGTCCTGAAATGTGATTTTTCATAATCTAGCAGTTATGGAGCAGCTCAAGTTGTAATTAATGTGAATATCGAGAAAAAATGATCTTACTGTTTTAGAAATTCCTGATGCTGCATAGCAACAGTTTGCAAAAGTCAAAATCAATCTGTGCATAGTTTGATTTCAAACATTTGGTGAGATTGATAGTATAAAAGGGAAAATGGCATTGATGATTTTGTGTGTAGATAGTTTAAAAGGGAAAATGGCATTTAGTGTGTAGATAATTGATGAACAAAATGGCATGTGACAAAACTTAATAGAAAATGGGAGAATAGAAATAATGAGTGTATAGATGCAAGTGAAAGAGTTGCATTGCTTGATATTTTGGTCATGGCTTTTTGTTATATAGGCGCTCCAACCAGAGGCGTATGTAGCATTACAGTTAGGGGTTCAATCGAACCCGTAACTTTTGACGCGGAGCATAAATTTATGTGTAACAATTTACTAGAATCGCAATTAATAGTAGATATGAACTTATAACTTTAAAAATATAATGGGTTCAATGCTAGTAATCTTAAACTTGAACTAATAGAGTTTAAATCTTGGATCCTAATCTGCCTCCAACCTTTGAGTCTAAGTTTATAGAAAGTTTATATTTGCTTAATGTGGTGGCTGGCAGGGGTGGACCCATGTACAGACTACCGGCTGCTCGATCACCCATTGTCCCCGAAATAAATTATTTATATCTATATAAAAACTGCTCGAAAAAAAAATATATTAACCCAATAGAACCCAGTGAACCAGAAACCTAATGGGTGCTTTGGTAGGGTGGCTTGTTTGAAGGCAGTATTTTGGGGGAAATAAGGGTTCGATTCTTAGGCGATATGATTGTTTTACAAGTCCGAGTAATCTTTAACTGATTTTTCCGTGTTCCTTATTTTTTTACTTTCTTTGTTAACTTAACTTTCAGTTTTTATTTCCTTTATGTTTATGTAATTTCTTGTAGCATAGAAAGAGAAAAAAATCAGCGTTCAATCACTTATCTTACTTTTTGTTGCAAAGAGTGAAAAAATTATTTATTTATTTCTAAAAATAATGGTAATATTAATCATAATTTTTCTAATTAACTTTCTAAATTATCACATTTAAACAGTTGTGCACTTATAATATGTCATTTGTAGTAACTTTATATCAAACGAAGTGAGCACCGGCGAGCCAAAAATCCTGAATACACCACTAGTGGCTGGGTATTATAAAGCACCATATTTGCGTTGGCCTGAGTAGAAGACATATATCTTCAGGATATTGGTCGTGCAATGATGTAAAATGCTCTTCACATCCTTGAAACTGCTTTAATATTTTTTTGGATCTAAATAGATCAATACTTTTTGTTAATGCCATCTAGCTCTAACATCAAGAAAGCTTTAGATTCATTTTATGTTTCTATTATATATTTTCTGTGGCGCTACGAGGAGGGAGGGTGGTGTGTGTTGTGGTTCAACTTTATTGCTTTCTTAGTGAAATGAGACTCCTAATGTAGAACTTCTGTGATGCAATGATGATAGTAGTATCATCTTATTATTTTTATATCTAAGAATCGTCTTAGCGATGTGATTGTAAAGCTGATGTTTTATCCTGCGGGGTGGCCCAGTGATTTGGGCTTGGGACTTCCATGTTGGAGATCTCATGTTCGAAACCCCTTGCCAGCGAAAGCAAGGGGTTTGCCTTCTGGGTTGAGCTTGTTGCACTGGGCTTGCTTAGTGCGGGTTACCTCTCATGTGTGGTTTGCGAGCTATTGCATAGGAGCGGGGGTTTTACCCTGTGCGCACTCAAAGGACAGGACAGCGGTTGTGGGTTTTCCTTGCATCAAAAAAAAAAAAAAAAACTGATGTTTTCCCATAATCTTACTAAATTCTTCAACAATGTGACATCAAAATTTATTGTCTGCTTAAGCTAAGGACTTCTTTCTTCCATGTGTTGAATTCTTACATTATCTTCTCCAGAAGCTGATATATATTTTCTTGTGCAGAGTGTTTAAATTTTGTGTCGACGGGATCGACTTAAGGGGAGAGAGTTTTGTGGATGCAGAATGGATGGCATATATAGGTGGTTTTGAGCACTTGCATTCTCTAAATTTATCAGATTGTAACAAAATTAACAGTTCAGCCATTTGGGCTATTATAGGTAACCTTAAATTGACCTCCAATTTTCTTTTGATAAATGTGACTAACCTAGCTAAGTTTCTGTTATATTCTCCTCTAAATCTGTTATTTCTTTGTTTTTAGACGTAGTTCACAATTAATTATGACACTTGAAATGTTTACTTATAGAGCTATGTTATTGTTTTCATCAGGAATGACAAACTTAAAGGAGCTTGACCTCTCCAGGTGCTCGAAGATTACTGATGATGGAGTTAGACATCTAACAACTATCCCAAGTTTGGAAAAGTTGTGGATTCCAGAAACAAGTGTCACAGCTGATGGTGTGATACTCCTGACTTCGTTAACCAACTTATCTTTCTTAGATTTGGGAGGCCTGCCTGTATCTGATTCGGCTCTGTGTAATCTTAAGGTAGACATCTACTGTTCACACGTCTTTAATATCTTGTCTTTCTTCTCCCCACCCTTTCCTTATGGTGTAACCAAGGCGTATTTCCTCTTTAACCTTGGGAGTGTTAGGTTGAGAGTTACGTGTGCCATGCCGTATTTCCTCTTTAACCATGGGAGTGTTAGGTTGAGAGTTACGTGTGCCATGCCGTATTTCTCTTTATTCTATGTTTTGTGTCCTATCCAGAGAGAATACATATGCATACTTATTATAGATATCCAACATTACTTGCCACATATATAGCCCGTCCACGAACTAGCTCTTTGTTTGCAAATCAGGGAAAAGAAAGAAGGGGAAGCTTGAAATTTTTCGCTTCTCTTTTTTATTTAATCAAGAGAAAAAAAAAATGGAGGAAAAGCTTGAAATTTCTCCTCTTTTTTGATTTGCAGAAAAGGTTGAAAGGAAAAAAATCAGTAGCAGAGTAGTGAGATTGCTTACCATTTGGGAGCACTTCTTTTGATTTTGAAAGAAATCAGCTAACAGTTTTTCTTTTTCCTTTAAAACCAATCAAGAGGATAGAGCACAGCTTTCCTTCTTTGATTTACTTTTTCCTTGGTTACAGAAAAGCACACGGTGAGAAAAGATGCTTTAAGCTTGGCGTACTCACTAAACGAAACTGTTATTGATTGTTTTTTAATCATTTCGTCCATTACTTATTTATAATGTTTGAAATTTTTCAAGATCAATGACACGTTTTATGGTTCTGGAAGGTTCTCAGGAAGCTACAACATTTGGATATTTGGGGGAGTGTAGTATCAAACAAAGGAGCATCTCATCTTAAATGGTTCCCGAAATTAAGTTCTCTGAATTTGGCCTGGACCAAGGTCACTATGTTGCCATGTCTGCCTTCTCTTGCATGCCTAAACATGAGCAATTGTACAATACATTCCATATTCGAAGGAGAAGGGCAGAAAGCTCTTCTTACAAAGCTTATTCTGTCTGGAGCAACCATAAAGGATGTCTCTGAAGCTTTCCTACACCTTGAAACATCCTCCCTCTCTCTTCTGGATCTTTCCAATTCATCTCTTAATTCGTTCTGTTTTTTGCCATATATGAGAATGATATCAGATTTAGATCTCAGTGGTACATCTGCAGGAGATGAGTCAGTTGAACACATTGCATTTGTAGGTCAAAATTTGCGTCATCTAAATCTCAGCCGGACAAAATTAAGCTCTGCAGGACTGGGAACCTTAGCTGGTTTTGTTCCCAATCTTGAAACTTTATTGTTATCTTACACAGCCATTGATGATTCTGCTATTCCCTTCATGTGCATCATGCCTTTGCTAAAATATATCAATATGAGTGGTACAAATATCAGAGGTATGATATGCTCTTCTCCTCTATATTTCCTGTACTTCTTTAATTCAGTTTTTTTTTTGTGGTCCCCAATTTCTCTGTAATTGGAAACTAGATAGCTGTACAGGATGCTTAAATACTTGAAGATAATACCATGATATCAGTGTGTATCCCACACTCTAGGCTAGACTATTACAAGGTGAACAGACCCTGGTAATTTGAACGAGTAACTTTTGGGGAAGTAATCGATGAATTGTCGAATCAACTTTGTGGTGAAAATCATTTAAAATAAGATCAAGTTGAGCTTGAAATAAATTTTCAGATTTGTAAAATGCCCTATCCAACCAAATATTAAGTAGAGTGGAACTTGAAGTAGCAATTTGGTTGCCTATTGAGGGAGATATTTTTCCTGTAGGGTCAGAATAACATTTGTCTATTCCCTCTTTATTCACATTGTTGGTTAATCTACCACAATGTCAGGTATTTCCAATGAGGTGGACTCTGATCTTGATTGTGTTTCGTCACTGTCCGGGTTGTCTACTCTTGAACATTTGGAGAGATTGGATTTGGAGGAGACTCGAATCAAGGATTCAGCTTTGGCTCCTTTGCCGAGCTTTCGTAAATTGAGCCATTTATTTTTACGGAGTGGTTCCCTTGCTGACACCACTTTGCATCAGTTGTCATCTATTACAAGCTTGGTAACCCTGGGGATTCGTGATGGTGTGCTCACTAATACCGGGCTCGATGTGTTCAACCCTCCACCACCTATGCAGATTCTTGATCTCAGGGGTTGTTGGCTGATGACAGAGGATGCTCTGTTGTCATTTCAGCAAAGGCATCCTCAAATTGAAGTAAGGCATGATCTTCTTAGTATTGCATTGGTGAAAAGGTTATCTGTTAGCTCACCTTTGTCCCAGGCGACACCACGGGCCAAACTATACATAAACAAGAAGGGAGGGTCATCAACATCTCCCCTTAGATCTATCAGAGACGGTTTTCTTGGTAAGGCATTGTCAAACCTATCTTGGTCTAAAATACGCTATTCTTTTTCCTGTCTGACATTCCTTCTTTTCATTATGTGAAAACTAGATCAAAGATTGAAGTATACCAATGAAGAACTACTTGCAATGAGGTTTGACTCTACCTCTATTTCCAGAGACAATGTTGTTCAGATACCTCACGAGTTAGCAAATGATGGATAATTTCTTGTATTCTTCTCATGTGCGTATTCTATTACCTTTCGATAGTAGTTCTTGAGTTTCTTTTTCAATGTCAAAATTCTAATATTTCTTTTTTGAATGATGCAGTGAGTAACTCAGAATGCTAAATGTCCAGGCTGCTGTAACGTGCCATTTGCTTGTTACTTTTTATGTGACCCTGATTACCACCCGTTTTGAAATACAAGGACAAGACTTCCTATGATAGTTCTAAAGCTCCCAAATGCTGGAATTGCATGGGAACTTCGAGGCTAGATGTTTATTAGCTATGATTCTGGTTATTTTTGTAGCTATCTGTTGTATTTTACAATTTCTTGATCATTCTGGTGACATTATTTATAATGTATACTAACCCAGAAATGTTGTCTTTTTTCTCTTGAGATTGTGCATTCTTGAATTTGCAGCAGTTATAGAACTATCATGTTTTGAGGAGTGAATTTTTGCATCATGTTGCATTTTCTATGGTGATCATAGTTACATTGTATATGAAGCGATTTAAGAACGATTAGGTTCATGATCTATCCGTCTGTGCAATACTTGTATATAGACGAATTGCTTCATTTCAGATCAATACTTGCTCAACACAACTTATGACGATTCAACAAAGCTAATGTAATTCCACAAGTTGGAGTTCGGTTAGGGTAGGGTAGGATAGGATAGGATATGATATACGCAAATCTATCTTTACGGGATGGAAAGGTTGTTTCCACTAGCTCAAAACAAAAGCTATCGAAGCAGGGTATCAAGAAACACAACACTAGTGCTTTGAACAATGACGATAATTTATCTGATATTAGTATTTGATAACGATCTTTTAAACCATGAAGTTGCACTTTTGAGCTAAATAAATAATACTGAACATAAAATAAACAAATTCACTTGTACTACAGTCAAACCCAGTTTGATAAAACAACTTCATCATTTTCATGTGATATATACAGTACCAACAACAAAAAAAAGAAGATAAATTAAGATTGAAAGATCAAAAGTAAAAAAAGGGACAGGTAACCTCAGCTGTTAGGTTCATTTGGTACCCTTGTACATGTTGTCAATCACATCCTGCACAACGTAAAATCAAAATCAGGCAAGAACACGAATTATTATGTCGGCTCGACCACTATGGCCGACCTTAGGCTGGCACTCCTCCACACGAATGCAGGCCACAAATAACTTATGCCAGGCTAGACCACTTGGGCCGATCTTAGGCTGGCACTACTCCGAGTGCAATGGAGGCCATGAGCCTTGTTGATCGCCCATTGAGCATGTCCAGTTAAGTAATATTCTAGTAGAAAGATGGAATAGAAATGGAACATGACAAATGATTGCTCACCAACATTCACCAGTAGGTTAAAGATAAATTACCTTATAGTATTTGAGCAACTGGGGTCTTTTCTTCTTGAATGTTGGAGTTAGAAGGTCTCGTTCCATGTCAAATGGAAGAGGATCAAGGTGTACAGCTTTTATGAACTCAAAGCCCTTCAGCTGCAAGAAGTTGGTGGCGGTTTATATCTAAATAGGATGTTCTGCTGCGCTTTCTCAAACATTACAACGCGTACATTATGGAAAGCAGTAACAACAAGGAGAACTAACCTTCTTTTCTTTTCCAGTTTTTGCAAGCTCTCCAACTATATACTCTTTCACTTTCGCATTTTCACACAAGGAAGCAAAATCCCCAGATATGCCATTATGTTCGGCCCAGTGTTCAATTGCTCGTTCGTTTGGGTTAATAACAGCAATAAGGAAAGACTCAAAACTGTTTCCGTATATCCATATCTGGAGGCGAGGTAGACAGAGAAATGAGTCCACTTTCATGTCTAACACTATATGTAACTAGTTATCAGTAGTTTGCACATTAAGGCTAGATGCAGTCTACTTTGTATAAGCATATTTTTTCGGTCAAGCTGGACCATTCACGATAGATATAAAAGATGAAAATTGTTCTACCTTGTTCATGTACAAAGCAGAAATTGCACAAATGAGTACATCAAAAGTAGATACATACCGAGTCAATAATAGGATTATCGCCATAGATATTCTCCAAATTTTCAACAGCAACATATTCACCTTGTGATAACTTGAAAATGTTCTTCTTGCGATCAATTATTTTCAAGCTACCATTAGGTTGCCACTCGCCAACATCACCTGAACAAAGATTTGTTAGAAACAATGGCCATTTAAATTTAACTCCCTCCGTTTTATTTGTTTGTCTGGTTTGACTTGGTATAGAGTTTAAGAAAATAAAGAACTTTAAGTAATGGGACTATCCTAATAGATTTTGAATCTTGTCGTCTAAAACTAAAGATATGTAGAATGTACAAAAATGCCCTTTAATCTTGTAGTCTTAAACATACCACATGGAAAGTTAGAATTAAGGAGTTGTTAAAAAATGAGGGAGATATTCTTTTTAAAACAAACTAAAAAGCGAAGACGAACATATTGAAACGGAGGGTGTCTCTGGCAAGAAGAGATTTGTCAGTTCAAATTCAACTAGAAAAAACAAACCTGTGTGGAACCACCCATCAATCATGACTTCTTTTGTTAGGTCTTCACGCTTGAAATAGCCTGAAAAAAGAGTGTCCCCCCTCACGCATACTTCTCCACGTGGCGTGCTTGACAGGGCATCATATGACATTTCAGGGACGGACTCCAGGCACACTTCCACATTGGGCACTGGAGGACCAACCGTACCAAGCATATCATAGTGGTTTGGTAGTGACACAAATGTACCAGCACATGTTTCAGTTAAACCTATATAAGAGTAGAAAGGAAAGATTCATTATATGGCTCATTAGTCATTAGTGAAGAGTTACGAGATGCTACCATCAATCAATTTTCATAAAGAGATGTTTTTACATTCTAGCATCTTTGTTTGAGATGGAAGCTAATAACCAACAATTTCTTCATTCATATTTCAGCTAAACTCATAATATCTTGAAAGACAACATTTGGAGGGAACATGAATGAAGTGTCTAGTATAATTTGATAATTATAGGTCAATGGAACTATCCTACTGAAAACATGACCCTAGATAGGAAAGAATGGAGGTCGAGAATTAGGGTAGAAGGTTAGTGAGACGTGAGTAGTTGAGTGTTGTCGCACTTCATGTGGGAGAGGTAGGGGGCTAGCCTCCTCTCATTTTCTCCTATTCATAATATTATTTAGGAATCACAAAATTTTGTTGTTCTTCATTGTTTGTGTTTATTACCATCTGTTGCTCTATTTACTTTGTATCTAGTTTTTTTTTGCTGTCTATTTTTTTATAATCGTGCTTCGAATTCTTCTTTTCTTTTTGAGTCAAGGGTCTAGACGAAACAACCTCTATACCCCATAAAGGTAGGGGTAAGTTCTGCGTACATCCAACCCTCCCATTCCACTTGTGGAATAGCTCTAGGTATGTTGTAGTTGGATATTTACTATCATGAGTCCCTATTTCTTTCTTCTCCTTCTTTCTTTGGGGTGGGGGTGGGGGGGTATGATGATACTAAAGCTCCTTTGATTGCAACATGAAGCCTAGGGTCAGAGAAGAAGCACTAAAAGCAGATCAACACCACAAAAATTTTCAGATGAAGCAAAAGAATGAAATACCATATCCTTGAAGAACGTGACAACATCCCACAACTCGCAAAAAAGCTTCCACATGAGATGCAAGGGGTGCTGCTCCAGACAATATAAGGCGTACTCTGCCTCCTAACCCTTCTTTTACCTTAGCAACAGAATAACATGAGTTAAGGACTAACTGGTAAGAAGAAAGAAAAACTGGAAAAATGGATTTGCTAGCTACTCCAAGACATTTGCAATACCTTACTGAAAACGACTTTGTCAGAAAGCGGAGAAGCTTCAACGTGGCTTTGCCCCTTCTTCAAATTGCGGTGTTTGCTGTAGAATTCCAAACATTTAGGTAACAGACTCCACTAAAAATAATTCAAACTAAGATTTAATTTAATGCTAAACAATAAATCACAACCAAAGTTCTCCCATTTACAGTAACCAAAAGCATGGGAAAAAATCAGTTTATTATACCGAGTTTGGTATATAAACTCTCAAAAAAAAGAGGAAGTCTAGAAGATCCTCATCAGATTTGACATGGAACATCACTTACTAAGCATAGGCAAGATTGAACAAGGTGCTTTTGAGCAGACCACCAGAAGTAATTTTATATTGCAAACCTGAGAATGTTTAAACGAACTAGTTAAAAACATATCCAGCATTTCAACAAGACTTAGAGAGCACTTAGTCAAAGGTACACCAAGAAGATAAAAATTAGTGTTATCAAATGCAAAAAGTGCAAAAAGGCTCTAAGGTCCTTTGGGATTTTAAGCACAAAGCACAAATAAAGCGTGAGCTTTAATGAAAAAAGGCGCAAACGGAGAAAAACTACAAATATGTATGTGTATTCCAAGATTAATCATCATAAGCATTACTAACGAAATTACGGATAAAGAAATTTTTTAAAAAAATTTATGATAATGTGAAATATCAATTGTTTAGTGTCACATCTTCAGGATTGCCTCATTGGCAAGGAAAAGTATGCCTTAGAGCCTTGATGACGACATTGAAGAGCCCATTAAGTGAAGCGAAGCGCTCAACATGTTTTGTGCGTCGCTTCAGGGCATAAGTGCACCTTTGACAACATTGATAAGAATGTGAATAGTTGATGTCCATTCAAAGGGAGCAAAACTTTTTCGACCATATTAAGGCATTGTCATCCGTCATAGTTAATAATAAACCCACAAAAAAACATAATTAACACTAGACCATTGTACACTTACTAGAGCCTAATCCAAATCTAAAGTGCATTGATTGTCCAGTCAAACACAGATTAGGTAGTCTAAATCAGCGGTCAGGAGAAAAGGTTTGACAGATGCATATTACCTGAATATATTCTGTCCAGTACCCGAGGTACAGCACAGAAGATAGTTGGTTTCAGCTCTCCAATATCTTCAGTTAGTAATTTGACATCCTGCAGACATGATTAGGAATGCATAAGTATAAGCTCTACCATGATTTAGCTGAAGATATGAACAACTTACCCCTCGCCAAAATCCTATTGAGGCACCATGATTAATGAAACACTCTTCAATCACTCGATCGAAGATATGTGCCAGGGGAAGATACGAAAGAAACACATCATCCACTGTCAACTGCAACATCGAAAGATTAGATGATCAAGCCTATACCGTAGCTATGCTTTACATCAAAAGGCATGAAAATAAAGAGCAAATAATTCATTACCGACTCATTCACACTCTCAAGCAGACGCTTTACTCCAGCTATAAGAGTAACAATACTAGTATTTGAAATCAAGACACCTTTGGGGTCTCCAGTCGTTCCACTAGTATACATTATTGTACAAATGTCTTCCTTCTTTTTCACAGGAAGATCAAACTGTTTTTCGCTTCCCTGCACATAAAATTCGAGCTTTAGTTTAAGGGCATATAAACAGTTACGTTTTTGTTTACTCAGCAGATCGTTCCATGTAAACATCAATACTACAGACTTATTCAGAAGTGTGGATAAATAGCTATTTCTCATAATATCACTGGCTACATCTACAAGCCTAAAATAATTATTACAATGGAAAAGAAGATAGACCCTCGGCTCAATAAGAGAAGTTATTCGCAGAAGGGTAGCAATAAAAAAACCATTACAAAAAAAAATGTTAAAATCTGAATCAAACTCAAGTCAACATGTAACTAAATTAGATTTAAGAAATCAAAATACTCTGTTCCCATTTTTTGTCTAATATTCAAAGCCACAAACAACCTTGGCATCCAAAATTATAACACTCCTTATGATGACATCTTACAAACCACCAGACAAATTTGATAAGAAATATAAAAGAAAAGATGAGTCTTACCAGTTGTAGAAACTCATCCCAGGAGTACAGAACCACCCCAAACTTTTCAACCTCTTCCTTCTGTTGAGGAGTGACCTTCCCGAAACTCACAATAGCTGGTGATTACGAGCAGGAAACAAGTTTGTTAAGCCAACATTTCATGTATCACACTTTGAAATAGGGACTGAATTCACAATCGACTTACTCTTCAAGTACTTCGATGCATTAGGAAAAGTTTTCAGAAGCTGAAAAGGGATAAACACACTTTTAGTAAGAAAGCACATCGCTATATGTTAAAAGGTACAGTGAGACTCATTCAACCATTCCAGTGGAGAAGTGATATTTGAATCTGAGATGTGTATATCTGTTTAGTTTTTAAAACAGTGCAGTGATTCTCAAGGAAAGTAGTCTTATTACTGAATTAGTGATTCAAATTTGATTCCATACTTAAGTCTTAATGAGTCGTGTCTTATGAGATATGACTAATTCTATATCCGGCATGAAGATCAACATGCGTGTCAAGTCGGAGATCACAGAATATCATATCAGCCGTCTATCAAAAGTTTAAATTCAAATATACATACCTCAGGAAGTTTTTTCTCTTCGACAAAAGCAATTGTAACCTCAGCATGGGAAATGATAAATTCCACTGCACCAGCACCTAAATCACACAAAGAAGATAAACTATAGAGAGTGAGGTTTCTTCTCCTTTTACAGAAAAGCATAAAATAGAAGGTCACATGACATGATTAATGGGTGATAAGTAATCTGGCTATCAGATTGCATGAAAATGATATCTTTATTAATGTAACACCAAGAATGATAAATTACAAAAAGAAAAAAAACAAAAGGAAATGAAGAGAATGCATACCTAAGGTGTCATACAGAGGAACACAGTAAAGTCCATGAGCATTGCATGCCTGCATTGGAAAATCGTTATAGAGCTAACAACAATTAAGGAGAAGGTTTGAATTTCTTAAATATCCTGGAACAAAGATTGATATGATACACAGCAGAAAACAGGATCAACAAAAGGATGAAACAAATATTGATACAAAGTAGACTAGGAAACAAAAACAGCGAGAAGGTCAACTACTTTCATATCTCGTAGTTCAATGACACGCTGTCCTTATATATATATCGTAATTTAGAGGTGAAAAGAAAGGCACATCCTACTATATGAATCCCAACTGGCCTCCTAACTCCACACAGTGCTTACACAACCTTTTTCTTTTTAACTGTAGTTCTTCCTATCTGTCATACTCAAATATGTGTTCTATATGAAACAAATGTATAGAGTTGATTAAACTTGAAGAAATGTAAGGCCAATGATTCAACAAAGAGAGATTAGCACAACAAGAAAAAAAAAGATAGACAATCTGAGACTCTGAGTGCCGAAAATACCAAGACTAACTATGGTCAATATAGCTAATATTAAATGTTATGTACATGGCCAAGTACCTCTTCATCAGCTAGGAAATAATTATATGAAGTACCCAAAATATTAGTAACTGAAGTCCTTAATGCTGTTTGAAGGCCATTAACAGACAAAAGGAGGAAAATGAGAATTAGAAGGACCAGGAAAAACTAACCTCCATGCTTATTATCCACTCAGCGCAATTAGCACCATAGATACCACATTTGTCTCCCTAACATCAGAAGTAAAATTGACAGAAAGTGAGGCAATGATCGGAAGTACAATTAATCAAGGGCAATAAACAATATGAGACTGGCTAAAAAGTCCTATACACAAGTATAATATAGACAGAGAACACAGACTAACTTCAAAAAAATAAGTGAAATATAATTTGTTGATTTTGGTATCAGAAAGGTAACATTTACTTCTATAAATCCACAGTTATACTATCAAAGTGTAGTCCCCCTCCAAAAGTTTATATAGTTGATAGAAATCACAAAGTATAAGAAAATATCAAAGCATGAGTTTGTAATCCAGTCATGAGCTGAAAGGCATCTAAAAGTGAACCTAGCTTTTCACTGCTCCTAATAGACCTAGGAAACAAATTAATAGCTTGAGAAGCACAAAGAAGGCAACATCGTCAGCTGTATTTGATGACAGAGCTCAAACACTGTAAAGCAGTTATAAGCACTTATCGTTGGAATTATTCTCGCAGTCAACCAAGCTTTTAGCAAAGTGTATCACGTGGAATATATATTTACTGAACTCACCTTATTTACACCACAGCTACGGATGGAATTTCCTACTTTGATCACAATGTCATATACTTCTTTGTAAGACATCCACACATACTTTCCAGGCTGAAAGCAAGAACAAATACATGAATCAGCTAAATCCAATTTAGAGAAAAGAGAAGAGAACTTTTCTGGAGGTAGGAGTTACAACTTATGCAAAAATTACTCATGGTAACAACATACTTTTTTAAAAAAAACTAAAAAAAAAAACGTACTTTTCCATCTACAATCTCACGGTGTCCAAGCATTCGATTGTTAGGATATTTCTCCACTGACAAACTGTACATAGAAAAGAAAATGTCTATTAGATGTGCTATTAGATTATAATGGACTACTCATTTTTGCACACTGAGCAAGTCTCTACTAGCATCATTATTGACTAATAGAAATAGCTGCAGGTTCTGACGAAGTGCCAGATTAATTTTTACTAGAACAAACACGGACAAAGAGGACTAGTCAAGTCAAATTTTAGGCTTGTACAGTCCAAGGGCAAGCTATATGAACTATATCCTGAACAGGGAAGCACAGTAAAACTCCAAAATCTAAGGCCTTTACTTCCAAATTGAGAAAGACCTATACTCAATCCCAAACCAATTGGGATCAACTATATGAACCTTTTCTATCCATTATGCTTCATACAAGCCCACTTTAAAGTTATATTTGCTGTAGAATTATGTTCAATTTATTTAAAGATATTATCACTCTTAAAAAAGCAGAACACTATGGGATTTATTATTATTTTTGTAACTGAGAAATCCACATGTTAAATGGACTTTGGGCCTAACGCAACCCCCAAAAGCTAGCTCATGAGTGGAAGATTTCCGAAGACCATACAAAAGAGACCTCACCTCCCAAAGTGAGCCGATGTGGGACTCAACACCCTCGCACTCCTAGGACTAGACATCAAGAGCGTGGACAATATAAGATAGGGCCCAACATTGGTATAAAATGATTGGGATGGGCATGACTTTGATACCATATTAAAGAAATGACCGTGGGCCTAACTCAACCCCCTCCCCCCCCAAAAAAAAAACTAACTCAAAAGGGAGGAGGCCAAGATTGATACAAATTTGCCTCCCACCCACCAATGTGGGACTCAACACCACCGCACAACCTGGCATCTAGAGCGTGAACAATATAAGATAGAGACCTAACATCATGGGAAACAAGAAATGGGTGGGCCTAAAGTGTGACCATCTCATCAAATTATATCATCATCAACTTAGTTGATAGAGCACGCTTTAATTTACTTGACTATATTCTCAACACCCCAAGGGTCAACTAACGCACAATTAGAAACTCGGTGGATAATGACCCCACCCCTCACCCTTCTCCAATCTCCACTAGAATATCAAGTTTTTTTGTAAAGAAAGATTTGAACTCATGATTAAAATCCTTTTCAAAGGAATTTGGGAAATTTGAAGAGAGATCTTCAGATCACAGAAGTTATCAAGTACATGCATATCTCAATTGGCTCTACCAGTTCAAGAAAACACAGATGTAGTTTTTTGTTCATGTTCAATGGCTCAAGATAGTACAATGTCTAGAAGGTAAAAGCACCTGCGACATGCATGAACATGTGAACAGTGAAGTCATGTCATTTATATACATAATAAATGCCAAAAGGTGTGAAGATTTTACAGAAAAAGAAAATCCAAAAGTCAAAATCATTTCATGGAACTTTAAGTTACTCATCAAACACATAAAGCTAAAAGACTAGAACTTTTGTTGCCAAATTAAACAATTGGATTCAAAACACATTATTAAATCAAGTCTATCAACTTTTTTTACAAAAAAAAAACAAACAGTAGACCCTTTATAGCCAAACCAAACAATCAGATTCAAAAAAATAATTCTGTATTCAAATCAAGTTTATCAAATAACTTGAAAAAAAAAAAACAAGAATTATATAACAAGTTCAAATCTTTAGCACAAAAAGTGAAATAAAAATCAAATCTTGAAACTTTCTGCAACTCATCAGATACATAAAGCTAAAAAGACTCCACCTTTACCAAATTCCAACCCAAACAGACACTCAGATTCAACAAACAAAACTAAAATCAACTGCATAAACATTAAAAAAAACAAGAACCCAACATAACAACAAAGCAAATTAACATAAAAATCAAATCTTTTTTAGTCTAACCGAAAAATATCCCAACAACTATCAAGTCCAGGAATAGGTGGAGGAAATCCATCCTTAGCAAAAAGACTTCTGTAAACAGGACCCATTGATGGTCTTCCATCTTTAGCAGGCTTTGCTGGTTCAACTTCAACAATGAACTTTTCTGGTGCCATTCTTGATCCCTCTTCTTTTTTCTTCCTTCCAACACAAACACACAAAAAATGTCAATATATGTTTGTATATATATGTGTAATAACACACCACACACACACACACAATATGTCAAGGGGAAATTGGACTATATGGGTGTTTGGGGGTGGGTTGGGGGGTGGGTTGGGGGGTGGGCATAGGTAAGCTGAATTTTGTATATATTCTCTGCGACTGAGAAGGGAGTTTCTTGAAGTTTGGCCTTTTTTTGACCAAGTAAGAAACGAAAAAGTTATTTTCTAACAGAGATTATTGACCAATGGCAAAATTTGGTCCACTTGTATTTTATTTTTATTAATTTTTTCTTTTTATTGCTAAAAACAGGCAGCTGTGATTTGCTGGAATTTTACAGGAACCCTAAATTTACTCCTTTTAATTATTATTTTTTATTTTCAGATTGTATTGTTTAATTATTTTCCAAGAGATTTCTTTGCTTCGTTATTTTTCCTTTTTAAAAAAAAAAATGATGGTATTTTGGCTAATTTACTTGTAAATCTACTATTGATTGAATATTTGTTGCCTCGTATTAGGATAAGTATTAAGTCAATCAACTTACTTGTAAATCTACTACTAATCGAATATTGCCTTGTATTAGGGTAGTATTAGGGGTGTGCACTATTTGGATTAAATCGAAAAACCAAACCATATCAAACCGAATTCTAATTTGGATTGGTTTTTTGGATTTTTGGTTTGGTTTTGGATTTATAATTTACTTTGTCTTTGTTTGGTTTCGAATTTAGAATTAAGTTGGAGTTAACCACTTTTGTCCCTTTTTAGTTACCTTTTATGTTTGGACATCTATAATTGATATACTTTTAAGTATTGTATTTTACGTTTTACTTGTGATATATATATTATTTTTTCCAAATTGCTAATATAACTTTGTTATGTTTCTAATTATTGACATAACCGATTAGCCGAACCGAAAAAACCCAAACCAAAAAGAGAAAAATCAAACCAAACCAAATTTATTTTGGTTCAGATTGGGTTACACTTCTTCAAAACCAAAAAGCGAAAACCCAAACTGAATAGTATAAAATCAAACCAAAAAACCAAATGCACACCCCATGTAAGTATTAAGTCAATCAACTTATTCATAAATCTACTATTAATCGAATATTTGTTGCCTTGTATTAGGATAAGTATTAAGTCAATCAACTTACTCGAAATCTACTATTAATCGAATATTTCTTGCCTTGTATTAGGATAAGTATTAAGTCAACCAATTTACTTGTAAATCTACTGTTAATCGAATATTTGTTGCCTCATATTAGGATAAGTATTAAGTAACTTTGCTTATCGCGACTTAAGCAGCTAAAAACGTGTTAGTTGTTGTCCATATAACTAAATCAAATCGTCTCAAAATGACAATGCATTTTTTAAATTGGACTCCATTCGTCTCATATTAGTTATCAATATTATTAATACTTGTCAATTTATATAATCAAGATGGAGTAATTTTTTGGTTTGCTCTCGAAATTAATTGGTTTTGAAAGTAAACAATGTAATATTCGTTATATTAAAACGAAAAAAGTTAAGAATAAATTAATGAAAAAATATATTTATTTTATAATTTTTTAAAAGACGTGTGTGAAAAGGAAATGGGATAATTAATATGAAACGAAGGAAAGTTGGTGGTTTTTTGTTATGATATTAATTTTTTGGTTTCTGGGTATGATATAAATATCGTACTTCTTTTGGGTCCATTTTAGATGTTTTTTAGAATATGGCACCACTCATTTAAAAAATTAGCTATTTACATTAATTAAAATCATAAAAGAATAACTTTTGAAACGTCGATCACACAATTTATTATACAAACTTATGTTGGACAGAAAAAAAAATAATGTTTTTATTTTTAGTTATGTTTAAAAGAATAGAAAGACACTTAAAATGAGTCGGAGGGAGTAATTATTTATTAATTAGGTTATTATGATAATTAAATCCGCATTACATAGTAACTAGGAATAAAACTAGAATAGTGTAATCTAAAAAAAATAAGTTATATAAATTGATTGTTAATGATTTTGTGTTGATATAGTGTCTTTTCAAACTAATTCCTATGACTTTGGAAAGCCTAACATTTTGGTTAAATCTTAATTCTTAATTAATAATATGTGTTATTATAACATGTATAAAGCTATTGCTAACCTAATTATATTAGTCGTATATTATGACAAAAGTGATGTATAAAAAAAAAACTTAAAAAAAAAAACTAAAAGATTCATCTTTCTTATCGACAGAAAATTGAAATAATAGTGGCTTTCATAACTATTTATGTAGTCAGTTTTCTCATATTCTTCGTCAATTTCACATATAATATCTGAAAAAGATAAAATTTACGACAGATTTACTTTTATCGTGTAAAAATTTAAAAAAATAAAATTTCTAAGGGCATTCAACTCAATTATCTTATAACGAGGGAAGGGGTGGGGGTTGATAAAAAGAATTTAATGATTTTGAATTGAATAGTCTATTTGTAGATGGAGGACCATAACTTTTGTCAAATATGAAAAATTCAAGAAATTAATAAATAGTATGAATTTTCCCACACGTCTATAGAACATGGACACCGTGGGCTACAAAGTTATTATCATTATTAATTACTTATAACACAAATAATGGGAAAAGTATTTTAGTTGACTTCTTAATATATGTTATATGTACATCAATATAATAAAATTGTAGAACCTTCTCTAAAATTATTAAGAAAATATGGTATCTTACATATTAAGGACATCATGGTAAGCAATGCAAAATGTATTATTGTCATAGTTCAAATAGAGAAGCGGAATCAAAATTTTAATTTTTGAGTTTTTTTTTCTAAATTTTAATATGCATACATAGTTAATGATTTTTTCTATACAAATACATAATTTGAGTAAAAGCTATTGAGTTTGATTAGACCTGTAATCAGATTTCTGCCTCTTGACACTATTCAAGCTAATGATAGATACTCCCTCTATCCCTAATTACTTGTTCACTTTTTAATTGACACACCTATTAAGAAAATAATTAATGACATAGTGAATTTACCATTTTACCCCTATTAATTATGAAGTGGATGGAAAGTTCTACATTTTTCAAAATAATTAGTCATTTAATTGAGGGTATAATAGGTAAAAAGAATTTGTCTTTTTTTGATTTGTCAAAATGAACAAGTAATTATGGACAACTATAAAAGGAAAAGTGGACAAGTAAGAGGGAGTATTAAGTAGTACTTCCTCTGTCCCAATTTATGTGACACATTTCGGATATCGAGATTCAAACATGTCAATCTTTGACCGTAATTTTTTTCTATATCTTTTAAATATTTTGTATTATCAATTATTGAGATTTATAGTACTTTTTGTGAAGTTTACAAATATATAAATTTCATTTTAAAAAATTTGAAAATTTCATGAGCAAATTCTCGGTCAAACTTAAATTGTTTGACTCTCGAAAAGCGAAATGTGTCACATATATTGGGACATAGGAAGTATTTGTTTTGACTCATCATATATCACATGTTTGACTTTGGGCTATACGATTATCGAGGTAAAGAAATGTGTGTACCATATGGATTTGTGCAATATTTTACACTTAATTTTTCTTATTTCTTTGTAAGATTCGCTTAAGATGTTATACAATTATTTTATTTTTTTAGAAGATTGTCAAATCACATATTCAAATATCTATTTAAAATCACGATTTTATATTACATATCCAAACGTCTAAAATAAAGGGCGAGGATATATGTTCCGTGGGAACATGGAAATATTATGTCATGTTATTTTGATGAATATACATAATTTAAGCCGTAAATTAATGTATTCGAAGATACAATTAACAATATTTAGCTTGTATAAATGTCTCATATTATATCTCTATCAACTCTTTAGTCTTAAGCAAATAAAAGTCTTAAATTCTAGATTACTATATATAAAAATCATAAATTCAAGATTACGATATGTATAATTTTATATTAATTTGACATCGATGCACACGTGGGATCCCTTAATTTATCACCATAAAAACACTTTCACCAAGTAAAAGAAATATTGTATCTAATAAACTAATAATGGTATAAAAAGATATTAAAAAGCCATGATTATGCAAAAGTGTTCTATCTCAAAAATTATTGATAATAAAATTAAAGATAAATTGATGTCAACGTGTTATTAAATTAAATTATTAGAAATTATCGTGATATGACAAGATATAAATACATGTTTTAAAAGTTTAACTCTTATATATTGATAGAGTGCAGAAAAAATAAAATTTATGAAAAGTCAAATTAGAGACCCCTCAACCCTATTTAACGAAAAAAAGATGATTATATGTCATCAATAGAATAAAAAACACAAACTTAACACAATTTTCTTTATTTTTGTCATATTTCAATGTCTTTATCGAGTTGGTCTTTATCAATTACTCTTTTCTATCGTATAATTGTCTATACGAATCAATAACTAAGAATGTAATATATGTGTATGATTACCTATTACAACAAGTTAAAATATAATAATTGTGAAATAATACTATATATTATACAAGCTATAGATATTTTTACTTCATTTCACATCGATCCTATCACCTCAATATATAAAATTCAAACAAATAAAAACAAAGCCAAGATTTTAATGTGTCGCTGAGTAACTTCTTCTGAAAGTGCAGCAGCATTAAATAATGAACAAGCTTGTGATTTTCGTCTTCTTATTTTTTCCTGTATCTGATATTCATATCGAGAATCGATTAAATTTAGATTAGCATATGGTAGAGCTCATTCTGGAAGCAAAAGTTTTAATAAGATTCTTTTATCATCCTTAGAAGTTCAAATCCGAAACGTCTTATTGAATGTAAAGAAATTTCGACTCATACCATCACGACTCATATCGATACCAAGCTTGTGAATTAATTGAGTAGTTAAAGCAGTCACTAGGCCTGCCCAATAATTTTTTTACAATAAAATGCATGCAGTTTCATAGCTGTTACATTTTTTCTAATAAATAAATAAATGCAAGTTATAAAATTTTCAGATTCTTCAACAGTCTGTGAAGATATTGTGCATGTC